CCGCCGCGCTCCTAAGTGGCGCACTGTAGCAGTGCACCACCGGGCCGGCCCTTACCGGTCATCTTTAAAAAAAAAAAAAAAAAAAAAAAAAAAATAAAATTTTTTCTCTGCTTTTTCTTTCAGTTCTATGTTGGATTATTTGCTGTTCCCACCACAAACTCTGCACTGGAACTAATTTGTTGTCCTTTGCTTACTTCTAAAATGGGGGAACTTCTTGTGGGGACCAGCTCTTCAGCCCTGTCGTTGAGCTACATTGCTGCTTTGCTGCTGATTCCCTGGGGAAGGCTTTTTGTGCAGCTCGGGTTTTAATTGTTGATCTTGTAAGTGCTTCCGGGTCTTGTGAGTTCCAGTACACCTGGGTTGTGTGGAAACTCTGGTCTGGGGCTGAGTCTTTTCAGCATACCGTACCCCCAGCAGTTCTATATTCCTGACCAGTCTTCACTGAGCGGTCCTGTGCTGACTGGGGAGCAGATCAGCTGTCCATGCTGTGCCCAAGTGTTTCCCCAGTGGGCCCATCTCCTCCTCCACCCATACCCCAAACACTTCCCATGAGGTGGGCCATGTGCCAGTACCCTGCAATGACTCAACACCTCTGAGTGGCTCCTCTCTCCTGTGTGGGTCCACAAGAACCCTGTTAGTGGTCTTGCTGGCCCAGGGGCCACAACACTTCCCATGAGGTGGGCCATGTGCCAGTACCCTGCAATGACTCAACACCTCTGAGTGGTTCCTCTCTCCTGTGTGGGTCCACAAGAACCCTGTTAGTGGTCTTGCTGGCCCAGGGGCCACCAAGGCCCTCTTCTCCCCTGCCACCTCTAAGTGACTTCATAGGAAGGGCACTGCAGTGGCTTTTGCCAGCTCTTGCACTGTGTGCTCACCAGCTCCTGCCTTGAAGCAGCCAGTATTCGAAATAGTGGGAGTGGTCCTTTCTTTCTCTCATCGTGGCTTCTCCTTGCCTTCATGTACTCGTAGGTCTCTCCTCTTTCCCTGAGCTCTAGCGGCCCCAGCTTGGTTGTCTCTGCTTTTTAATAGGTTTAAATTGGTTGATTTGTGGGAGAGAGTGAAGCTGGAGACCATCTATTCCACCATCTTGACTGGAACCTTGACTTTTGTTTTTGCCTAGAGTGTTGTTTGGCATGTAAAAACATTAGATATTTATGGGATTGAATTTATCCATCTTTTATTTATCTTTGATTCTGGACTTTATGTGGTAATTTGAAAGAACTCTCATTCTAAGTTTTTAAAAAAGCATCTCCCATGGTTTATTCTGTTACTTTCAGGCCTTATTTATACGTGGCATATCTTTAATTCATTCGGAATTTAGTAAGGTCTGAGGATCATAAGTTTTTTTTTCTTTTTGGTTGCTGGCTGGTATGGGGTCTGAACCCTGGACCTTGGTGTTATCAGCACCACACTCTAACCAACTGTGCTAAGACTGGTCTCATAACATTCTTAATAACCTTGTCAAATAGTCTGATCAACCTATTGTACAGATGGTAAAGAGAGCCCCACAGAAGGGAAATGGCTGTCTCCAAAACCTGCTCCTCATCCTGAGTTCCCTAACTCAGGAAGTAAGACCTCCATCTAGCAAGGTGCCAGAGTTCAAATATCAACCACCACATTCAGTCTGCCCTTTTGATTCTTCCTTGTATATACTCACAAATCCATCCATTTTCTCCATTCCCACTTCCTAATGGGGATTAGGTCTAGTTCAGGCCTCATCATACTGTTCACACATCAGGCTTTATACATGCTGTTCCCTCTGCCTGGAATATGGTTGGCTTCTTCTTTTTAGGCTCACACCTTCTTGCCCATCTTATCTCAAGTACCCTCTGTCATTACGGTATCACTGTGTATTTTCTTTCACAGAATTTGCCATAGCCTGTCATTATTATTATTATTTAGTGAAAATGGAAGTCATCCTTTATTTAGGAATACTGGTGACCTGAGGAGAGATGTTAGACTAACCCATCTCTCTGGTAAAACTTAAGAATAGCCAGACTAAAGCCATCTCAAAGACTCAGATTTTTTGAGGGGTTTTTAAAGAGGGGGTTGAGGCAATGGAACATAGGAAATGAAAAGCAGGATGGAGAGGGATGTGAGCTGTGGGGGCTCCATGCAGGGAACCAGATACAAGGTCTTGCCAAGGCTCCATCTGGTTTCTGCTCCTGGACTTGCTGTTATCCCAGGGTCCTGCTGGAGGGGTGGAATCAGTATAACTTTACTGATATCTTCCTTGGTTTCCCAGGGTCTGGATAGTACATGCAAACGTGCAACTCTGAGGTGACTGGAAAACAAAGTTTTGGTGGCTGGGAAGCCCAAAGTCCATGGAACACATCTAGGGAGGGCTTTCTTCTGGGTGGTGACTCTTTACAGCAACTCAAGGTATCACATAGAGAGAGAATGGCATTAAGAAGGGGGAGCTAGTTTGTCATTATTTTGAGTGGAGTGAGGCTCTCTTCATATGTTTACTTATTCACTTTTTTCATTGTCTTTCTCCTCTGCTAGCATGTAAGCTCACTGGTATCAGGGACCATGTTTTTTGTTTCCTGATGTATTCCTAGCACGTAGAACAGTGCCTTTCACATAATGAGTGTTCAGAATATTTACTGTGTGAATAAATGAATGATCTCTCACCTGGACTACTTCAAAAGCCTTCTGAATCTTTTTTTAATAGTGTTTTTTGTTTGTTTTTGGTGGCTGGTGGGTACAGGGATCCAAACCCTTGACCTTGGTGTTATAAGGTGGTGCTCTAACCAACCGAGTAACTGGCCAGTCCTGATTCTCCTTTTCTTATACCTTTCCATGAGACGCACACTCAGGGAAATTTGAACTCTCTTACAGTTGACATGTCAATGACAGCTGACATGTCAAGAACAAAATCAAGCAGTCCTGAGAAGAGAGGGAGCTCCAAGACCAACAGAATTGGGACTATATGGGGTGGTGACCAGACACAGTCAGGGGACCTGGGTTTTGGTGACAGCTCTGCTGCCTGCTGTGTAATCTGCAACTCACTTCACCTCTTTCAGCAGCTTCCTTCTTCTGTAAAGTGGTGATATTAAAATCTCAGTGATATAGGAAAATTGTAAAAATCAGATGAAGAGGCATGTGAAAGTGACTGTACACTGTAAAGGATTATGGGCATACAGAAGGCTTCTTTTTTCCCGTTCAGAAGTGCCAATGTCTCCTTCCCACTCACCTTTAGGCCAGCCCTGCTGTCTTCCCAGGAATTCTTCTGCCTTCAGATGCAGGCTGATGCTGTGCCAGGACTGAGCTGTTCCTCTTCACCATTTCCAGCTGCTCTGGTGGGCCCGATGCCCTACTCAGGGTGTGGCACCTGCCAATAAGCATGGGGCTGGGTGGGTGTTGCTGAGAGCTTCCAAGCACAAGGACAGCCATGCCTGGCACACATAGGTTAATGCAAGAATATTTTTCTTCTGGGCCTCAGTCTTCCCCTGGGGAAAGCAGCATTAATTATCTCATTTCCCAAGACACAAGACATTCATCAGTGTTATGGCAGTGGCTGTGGGTAGTCACTTCTGGATGCTCCCAGAAGAGGACAGAGAGAGGCAGAGCCATGAAGCCTCAGGGCTTCAGGTGTCCTCAAGCGTTGCCTTAAGAGGTAATGCCTGTTTGGCCTCTTTTAATCTCCTCGAGACAAGGGTTCCTCCTTTAGCCATTTAAAAAAGATATTGTTTACTTAGTGGACCAGAAGAGTTGTCCCAACTCCACAGAGGTTATTCAGTCTGAAAATTAAAAACAATCTCCTGCACCTCTGTAGAAGAGATGATCCATTTTAAGTCATATTACCTTTTTAAAAACAATTATTATTTTTGGCAGCTAGCAGGTACAGGGGTCAAACACTGGACCTTGGTGTTGTCAGCACCACACTAACCAACTGAGCTAACTGGCTAGTCCAGATTCCCTTTTGACATTGTTTTATCTCAGTTTCCTTTCCTCTGCTGGCCTCTTAAATGTTGGCAACACCTATTTGGTCTTCAAACTTTGGCTGGGGAATTTCTGATTTTATCTTTTTAGTGCCTCCCTCCTCCATATTGTCCCCCAACCTGCTGCCAGAGGGATTTTTTCAAAGCACTGTTTTGATCTTCTGGCTCAGAAATCTTTTGTTCTCTACTGCTAACAGGATAAAGTGCAAGTTCCTTACCTAGGAATCATGTACTGCCACAATTCACTTTTTCAGCTTCAGATTGATTGACTTGATTTCAATATGAGTTACATCACTGAATCTGTATCACTTACGATTAGGTTCAGTGAAACCCCGAATACTAGGGGCTTACATAAGACAGCAGCTTATTTCTTATGTAAAACAAATCCTGAGGTAGGCAATTGGGGCTTCAGGGTATAGTGGACCTAGGCTACTCTGATCTCATTGCTGTTCCATTCTTAACATGGTCAAGGATGGCTGGGCAAACTCCAGGAATCATGTCAGCATCCCAGTGAGGAGGAAGGTGGAGGAGAAGAAAAGGGTACAGGATGCATGCCAGCTATATTTTAAAGAGGTTCCTGAGAAACTGACACTTAAAACCTCTGCTTATGTCATATGGGGCAGACCTTGTTGGCTGCAAGGGAGGCAGGGAAACAATGTTTATTCCAGCCTACCACGTGCCCACCTAAAAGTCGTAGATTTAATTCTAAGGAAGAGACTGGATGTTTGGGGGAAATAAAAGGTTCTGACATAAATGTCCTGTCTCTACAATTTTGCTTAATCCAGACTCTTAATCTCCCTTTCCTGAGAGTAATTGTAATCATCCTTTAAAGATTAGCCCAGGGGCTGGCCTGTGGTTCACTTGGGAGAGTGTGGTGCTGACAACACCAAGTCAAGGTTAATATCCCCTTACCGGTCATCTTTAAAAAAAATAAATAAATAAAAAATAAAGACCAGTCCAAATGTCAGCTCCAGACACCTGAAGATACAAAAAATCTTCACTTTTTCTCAGGACATTCTGTATACTGCTCCATGAGATCACTAAGCGTGGTGTTATGAATATTCCTCCTTCCTGTGGGTACTAGGGTCTGCTCTCTCCCAAGGCTGCAGGATCATAACCCTCCTTAACGCCTTAACCCCAGCCTTGTGGATTCTACCCGAAGAAGCTAATCTTAACTTTCACTTCTGTAACGTCTGGACAGCCTCCCTTCCCTCTCAGGCTTCCTTCACTTGCCCACATTGACCATCTGTACAAAGCCCCTATTCCACTAATCTAGAGGTTAGGGGAATGGGAAGGAGTTGGGGCTGATCCTGAGCCCAGGTGTACAAGGTGGCAAATTTCACCCACAGGGCACTGCATACCTTTCCTGGCCCCAGGCTGGATGGAGCTGAGTCCTTTTCTCTAGTGGACATACAAGATGCTCCCAAAGGCAAGATGATTATGCTGGGGGTCTGTGTACACACTTAAATGCAACACACTTAAACCTTCCAAGCCAGTTTTTCTATGTCACTCCGCTGCTCAAAATCCCTCAATGCCTCCCCTGGGGCTTGGGTGAGTCCTGGCTTGGTGGCCCTCTGTGAACTGCCACTCACCTCAGTCCTCACACTCCCCCATCTTAGGCAGCACCTATACTCCTAACTACACTACACCCCCCCAAGTGCCAGGCTCTCTCAGGCCTCCAGACTCTCATGTGTGCTGTTGACTTTGCTTGGTATGCATTTTCCTGCTTGGCCTTCAAGACTGAACACCACTTCCTCCAGAAATCCTTCCTTGATGCCCTTAGGCAGAGCTGGGGCCCCTCTGTGTCCCCCCAAGGCCCTCCAAACACCTCTGTATTAGTGGTTCATCATCATACTGTAATGGTCTGTCTCTTGCAATAGGCTAAGCAACTCGAGGTCCAGCACATCTTTCAATGATACCCCTAGCTTCTGGCACACACTATGCACTCAATAAATACTCATTGAATGAGGCTTGTTAGTTAAGGGTACAGAGGTGATAAGGGAAACATCCCAGTCTCTGTTCTTTGCTTTGGGCAAAAGGAGCATAAAGCAAATGCCAAAAAGTCACAGAATATCAAACTCTTCTCTTTACCTGAATAAAGCCTACTCATTTTTCAGGACCCACTTTCAAACTTCACTTCATGGAAGCCTTCCCGTGACCCCAGACCTAGGATAAGACTCTAAGCATGCTCTCAAAGCACCTCACATGTCTTCTCTAGAGCACTAATCTGGATGGTAATTATTGTGGAATTTTTAATGCAGGGTTTCTCAACAATGGCACTATGAGCATTCTGGCTGGATTATTCTGTTACGGGAAGCTGTTCTGTGCACTGTAGGATGTTTAACGGCATCATTAACCTCAGCCCACTGGTGCCAGTAGTAATCCCCTCCCCAACTTGCAACAACCAAAAATATCCCCCTTATCAAATGTCCCCTGGGGGTGAAATTGCCTCTGGTTGAGAACCAGTGGTGTAACATCCGTCTCTGCTGTTAGAATGGAAGTTCCATGAGATGGTCCAGCCACATGAGACCCCATGTCTTCAGTTCCTCAGGGCTCTGATGACCTCAGCCTGGCACTCTCTCTTCTGTGCAGCCAATCTTCCCCCATCCCAAACTGAGCCACACACTACCTGAGAAGTGATCTAAACCTTCTTTTCTACCAGATTCTCCTCCATGGGTTTGTTTGAGGGAACTTCAAAAAGTTCGTGGAAAATTTGAATCAAAAGATAATACGAATCTTTCCACGAACTTTTTGAAGTATCTTCATATAGTGTGAGGGCAGAGATGGTGGTTTACTGGCTTTCACACCTGCCAGTGCCACCCAGGCTTTGCTTTCAGGGCAGTGAGGCAATGATTACTGGGGGAACAAATGAAGGAAAAGCAGGGAGGGAGCTTCTCAGGGCTCTGAGATGGCATGAGCATAGCAATGGGCCTTCTTGACAAGGATGGCTTCTATTTTTTTTTTTTAAGGAAGCTCAGACTTTATTAGATAGCCAAAGGCTGGTCCTGGGGAAAGCCTTGGCTGGCTTCATAATCTTCTTAGTAGGAAGAGGTAGTGAGGAGAGGGGCTGTCTGGGGAAGGAAGGCATCCTGAGGGGCCTTCCTTGGTCTGTCCCGTTGGTCTGTCTCCCCTCCCGCCTCACTCTGGCTCCTCTGGATGATCACATGGTGAGAATCTGCTTTGAAGACGTGAAGGGCTTCATTGAGATTTCCAAGGCATGCTGGTACTCCTGTAGTGGGACCTCAGAGCAGGCGGGGGCCGTGAGCTGGCCTTGGCGGATGAGATCGCACAGTGTGAGGATCAGCTCTTTGAACTGATCTGTGGGAGGTTGGAGGAAGTCAGACAGGAGAACCGTAGCAGGGGCTTGGTGACATGGCACACGGGCTGCCCCTTTGAGCAGGAGCTGGCACTGAACTCCAGTAAAGTTTTGAGAGCCTGGCTTTGCCAAGAATAGGGTGGCTGTGGTGGCAGGTTGGTTCCTGCCTGTGTTCAGGACAGTGAGGGTCAGGGTGGGGCCAGAGGAACATGGGGAGTGGCCCTAGGAGCTGATGGGCAGGCAGAGACTACCCTCCAGGGTGGTGGCTAAGATGGCTCAGACCCATAGAACCTGACTGGGGGGTAGCCAGGAGCACTGAATGCAGGGAGTGACAGGATTCCTCCCAGGCAGGGAAGCCAGAAGAGGCACCGGGAGGGAGGTGGGTGTGCCTGGCACGCCAACTGATGTGGAACAGATGAGTTTTGCTCAGAGAAAGGAGCTCTCCCTGAGAGCCCAGGACTCCCTCAGAACCCCACGACTTGATACCACCAACATCCCCTTCCTGGGCCTGCTAAGGACCCAACATGGAAGATGAGAAGTGAAGACCTGGCTGAGGGGTGAATTTCATAGATAGAAATTCATTGACCATTCAAATCTAATCTATCTGCTGCCTAAAAACACTTCAAATGGCTCCCCAATTGCCTTTAAGATAGAGTGTGAACTCCTTAAAAAGGTTTGTAAGGGGCCGGCCCGGTGGCGCACTGCGCTAGTGCGCCGCTTGCGAGCTGGCACTGAACTCCAGTAAAGTTTTGAGAGCCTGGCTTTGCCAAGAATAGGGTGGCTGTGGTGGCAGGTTGGTTCCTGCCTGTGTTCAGGACAGTGAGGGTCAGGGTGGGGCCAGAGGAACATGGGGAGTGGCCCTAGGAGCTGATGGGCAGGCAGAGACTACCCTCCAGGGTGGTGGCTAAGATGGCTCAGACCCATAGAACCTGACTGGGGGGTAGCCAGGAGCACTGAATGCAGGGAGTGACAGGATTCCTCCCAGGCAGGGAAGCCAGAAGAGGCACCGGGAGGGAGGTGGGTGTGCCTGGCACGCCAACTGATGTGGAACAGATGAGTTTTGCTCAGAGAAAGGAGCTCTCCCTGAGAGCCCAGGACTCCCTCAGAACCCCACGACTTGATACCACCAACATCCCCTTCCTGGGCCTGCTAAGGACCCAACATGGAAGATGAGAAGTGAAGACCTGGCTGAGGGGTGAATTTCATAGATAGAAATTCATTGACCATTCAAATCTAATCTATCTGCTGCCTAAAAACACTTCAAATGGCTCCCCAATTGCCTTTAAGATAGAGTGTGAACTCCTTAAAAAGGTTTGTAAGACCTTTTCTAATCTGGTCACAACCCACCTGCCTGGTTTCCCAGTCCCAGCTCAGACCTAATGCTCCCTTGGTGCCCTGGTAAGTCTCTACACAGAGAGGGCTTTCACACATGCTATTTTTTCTGCCTGAAACACTCCATTCATGCTACCACTTTCCATTCTCAGCTAAGAAGAGAGAGAAAGAACAGTGTACTGGCTCAGGTTCTAGGGTCACAGAAACTATCTGTCACATCCTGGCTGCACCACTCCGTAGGACACTCCCTGGACAAGCTACTTAACCACTCTGAACCTTAGTCTCCTCCTCTGTCAGACAGGGATAACAAAAGTTTAAACTATTATGATGTTTAAACTGAGGCAGAGATTAAGTTACTTGCCCAAGGCCCCACGGCTAGGCTAGGCAGAACCTATATTCAGTGACGGCTGCAGCAGGATGGGAACACAGGCAGGCTGGCTCCAGAGTCTATCCTCTTTACCTGGTTATCTTCCATGGTAGTCTTGCCCACTGTTGGCTCTTCAGGACAGGGGCAGTGTCTGTCTTGTTCAATACTATGCCCCCAAGGACCAGCCCAGTTTAGTCCAATAACTATTTGCTGACTGTAGCTGTGGCTAGAAGCTATTTTCCTTTATGGTATTGTGGGGTCAGGGACCCAATCACATCTCCAGGGATCAGAGTAGCTGGTCACTTTTGCAGCCATTCTTAGGCACTGCCCTTTCCTGTGACCCTTGGCATTTGGGGCCAACATCCACTCACCTGGACTGTGGTCCTTCTTCCACTGGGACAACCAAAAACCCCGAAGTTTGAGATCTTTAAAAATGAGCAGGCTCTGTGGACACAAGAAGGACAGGCTGGGGCTCTGAGGGTGAGAACTTCAGGCACCCCTTAAGGGCATGGATAACCCCCCAGGGACAGGGGTGTTGCTTGAGTTTAGACAACTGTGCTGTCAGGGGAAAAGGCCTGGCTGAGGTGTCCCAGCCCCTCTCTCCAGGCATATTTCCCCCACCAGCTTACCACAGAGGCTACGACGGGCTGCTTGGCCATCCCCCCATAGGTCACCATGGTTCCTCCAGGCCTGAAGAGTCCACAGAGAACAAAGAGTGGGCACGGGCAGAGACAGAGCCATTCGTGAACCTGCTATGGCACTTCTATTCCAACCCTGGTTCCTAAATCTTGCTCTCAGAATCCCTGGGAAGGGTTCAAAAAATAGATTCTGGAGATGGGGGCAGTGGGCCTCAGCCCTGCCCCTGCCACCAGCCAGCAATGGAGCCAGCCACCCAATGTCTGCCCAGGGGTCCTGAGAGACAAGGCCTGTGGGCCTCAGCCCTGCCCCTGCCCACCACACATCCAGGCCAGCAACAGAGCCAGCCCAACACCAGGGGGTCCTGAGAGATGGGCCCCACCCCCACCACACATCTAGGACAGCAACAGAACCAGCCCACACCCAGGATCCTCAATTGGGGGCTGGGCCAGCCCTGCTCCTGCCTGCAACCAGATCCTAGAATGTACTTATTAACCACGTGTTTCTTTGGGGTGTGTGACTTATCTGCTCATATCCATTACCAAATTTCTGCTTAGATTTTTAATTCATTTTTTAGAGTTCTTTTTGCAATAAGGATGTTAATCTTTGTGTGTGTGTGTTTTTTTTTTAAAAAAAGTAAAGAGTAGAATAATGGTTACCAGAGGCTGGGGGGGTGGGGGTCGGGGGGGAAGACTAGGGGTGAACTAATGGGGACAAAACTATGCTATCTACTGTAAGTGAATCATTGTGCAAGATATACATGTATTGAAACAACACACTGCACCCCACAAGAATAAATATAAATAAAATAGAAAAAAATAGATTCCTAGGCCCAACCCCAGATTTAATGACAAGGAGGCAAGAATCTATATTAAAAACAACAAACAAACACTGCCCCCCTACCTCCATAACTTGGATCTTTAGTCAGGGTTGGGAACCCACTGATCTAACCCACCCAGCCAGGCTTTAATTAAGTGCTGCAAAGAAGCATGCTCTGCAGGGAAGAGCTCAAGACATGAGTTCAGCCCTGGCTCTACTCCCACTTATAGGCACATGACCTCGGGGCAGCACATTGAAAATGGTCCAGACCTTGTCTCTTCATCTGTAAATACTCATTCTAAGGATCAATGCAATGAAATAGCCCCACAGATGAGGAATAATATGGATGGTGTAGGGGTCAATGACAAGTGTCCTTTCACTGCAGGAGGTGCCTTGTCAGTACGTGGTGTGTGACTCCTGCACACCCACCTCAGCAGTCAAATAGAAGTGAGGCTAATATAATCTTTAAAAACTAACAAGCTAGGACTTCATATGCTTGACATAACCTATGTTCCCCTCCCCACTCCCTGGCTCTTTCGGGAGTTTGTTGATCAAGGACGACCTGAGGTATATCTTGGGACAACACAAAGAAGACTTTGAAAAGTACATATGGAGGAGGCCGCTGTGGCAGGCAGGCCACTCTGTCCTGAGGCAGCTGGGTAGTTTGGTCTTAAGTTCCCCTCAACTGCCATCTGCTCTAGAAAGTAGCTCCTGAGGGAATCAAGCCTTTTCTCCTCTGTCTCCTCACTGCTCTTGGTCTAATAGCTAACATTTACTGGGCATGTGCTATGTGCCAGGCACAGTTGTAAGCATTTTACATGTGTTGTTTCCGTGAATCCTCACAGGAACACCAAAGGAGCATATTTAATATCCTCATTTTGCAGATGAGAAAGCTGAAGCCCATTGCTCATTTGTGTAGCAATTTGTACATCACCTCAGCATCCCTTAGACTAACCTTTGAAGGCAGAAAGGGCTACATTGCCCCCATCTTACAGATGAAGAGACTGAGGCCTGGATCATTTTTCATGGACTACTTAACTTTCTATAGGTCCACAGCCAGTATGTGACAGAGCTGGTGCTTGAACCCAGCCATTCTGATACCAATCCTACACTTGTAACCACTGCACAATATTCCCTTCTACAATGACACGGAGATCACCATCTTCCTCAGAGGCTGCCTGGTGTAGGGCTGAAGAGGTATGCTCCAGAGTCAGGCAAACTTGGGGTCAAGCCTGGCTCTCCTGCTGACTAGACCTTGGGCAAGGCAATTATCCTCTCTGGGCCTTGTTTTCTTTAAGTATAAAGCAGAGATCAGAAAAGTAGCCCTTGCCTAGATGGTCATGGGAGGGGCCAGTCAAACTCTGCATGGAGCCTGGTGCACAGTACACACTCAGTGATTCTTAGCTCTTTGGCAACATGACTCATCTGCCCATCCAGCCTGTGAGTTCTCAGAGGCAATCTCAGTGTCTCAGCCATCTCTGTACATGGTAGCTAGTGAGTGCTCAGCACATATGTGTTAAGCGAATCAGTATCGTTGAGGGGATTCCTGCTTTAGTTGGGAAGTGTCTTTTCAGGTACCCCCAGCTTGAGAAGTCTATACAAAAGTAAAGAAGAATGGAAGGACATACACTGTTAACACTATCAACAGTTCTTATCCCCCTTGATGGCAGATAACTTTTATGCTTAAGTTCTTTTGTACTTTTACATGCTTTCAAAATGTTTTATAATAAGCATGTTACCTCTAAAATTAGAATCAAATTTTAAAAGCTAGTAAAACTTGTAAAGGCTAATAAGCTAGGACTCAGTGTATTTTTAAGATGTCCCTAAGTTATGAATCCTTGATCATCCCCCTATCACAGAGAACTTATTAGCAGTCTACTTCTGGGGTAAGTGGACAAATACAGCTGGACAGGTCATCTGCAAAGGAGAAGCCTGAAAAAGAGGTTCCCGGATGGCTAGATATCTTTAGTCCTAGTTTCCTACTCAACATCATGCTGACCTGGCCTTGGTTCACTTTGGCCATTGGGGCTTGGCCTCTTGATGGTCCTCCCAGCTAAAGACCTGGAGAGCTCTGGCGAGCTGGACCTGCAGGGCTGAGGGACTTACGCTAACTGCCGCAGCAGCTCTGTGGAGCTTTTCCCACCGACACAGTTGAGAGCAAGCCGTGGCTGGGGCATGTCCTGGAAAATAAGGAACCTGCAGTGAGGGAGCTACCACTGTACACATGGGGTTTGAAGCTGGCTACAAAGAGCACTTCCCTCGCCCAGGTGCTGTGTCAGATGGAGCAATTAAAAATTAAGAAAATGGAGGCCGGCCCGGCGGCGCACTGCTACAGTGCGCCGCTTGGGAGTGCAGCGGCGCTCCTGCCGAGGGTTCGGATCCCACATACAGACCGGCGGCTCACTGGCTGAGCGAGGTGTGGGCGCAACACCGAGGGTTGCGATCCCGTTGCCGGTCCCGGTCCGGTACGGGCGCGACAC